GCGTTACAATTCCTGAATGCCTGGCCGCACTTCCAACCTGTTGTTTTTTCCTTTTGAGGTTCCTGTCATGTTCTTACTGAGGTGGAGGAGTTCCTGGAAATTACAGATATTATCTCCATCTCCGTTTAGTCATAACTAAGCTATTCTCCCCATCTATCACCTATTCGCTTTATTCCTGGTGTTCTTTGTTGAATAGAAAGCCTGGACTTCAACGTAACTAAATGAATCTTTTTGTTCTTTTTCTGGTAAATGCTTTTTTAGTTTTATTTCAGAAACCTCTGTCTACATCTGGGTCCCATGGATGTTATTCTATCTTGTCTGCCATTGACTTTGTCTCTTTCTTCACATGGGAGGCTGACCCATCGGGAAAGCACTGTGCATGTGTGTGAAGCAGGGGACCAGTTTCACTTTTTCTCTAACGATGACTCAGTTGTCCCTGCCACCCCTCACGATCTCTTTTCTCAGTGGGGTGTGCCACCGCAGTTTTATAAGTTCCCATGGATTCAGTGGCCTCTCTCTGGGTTCTAAGTTAGAATCCACCAGCTTCGTTGTCCATTTTTGTGCAAAGCCCGCACTGGGAATCCTTGGCAAACCCACTTCACATTTTAACTCATGTCCCAGCACGTGCCTTCGTGCTTGGGAGCAAGTGCGGACCTTACACCCGGCCAATTGACCTAAGACATCATTTTATTAGTCATTCAAAATAACGTTAAAGACAGAAAAAGCAAAAGCAAAGAATTACCTGCCCCAAATCCTCAGAAGTCGTTCATGTATTCATTTGCTCACTCATTCACAATACTGATGAGGTGCCTGCTGTGTGCCAGGACTCAGGATGGATGGTGTAGGGACACAGGGGTGGGCCAGAAAGGGCAGGTCGCTGCATACATGAACATGTCCAGTCCTTGCTGAGAAGCAAACATAGATCCAGTCACTACTCTCACCGATTGAGCATTATAATTGTGACTAGATGTCTAAAGAAGAGGCGACTGTTTTTAAAGAGTACGATTTGACCTGATTAGAGAGGGTCTGATGGGCTAGGGAGAAAGTAATGGTTGATAGTTACAGGACGGAAGAGTGCAGGCAGGTAACAGAGCACCTAGGAGGGGAGGAGCCCCCGAGTGCGAAGGCCTGAGAAGGCACAGGTGTGCTAAGTGTAGCGACGTGAGAACAGACGGAGGGAAGCCTAGGCAGAGGCAGCCAGGGAAGGGGAAAGCAGCAGACCAAAGCCGCCGCAAACCAGCATGATCTAGATCGGGCTGGCTCACAGGAGAGTGAGCTTCTTGCCCCGAGGCCCAGTTAGACGGTGACATTTCATAATCCATGAGCAGATCTTGACACACGGTTTTTGCGTTGGTAGTTTTTCATCCTTTGCAGAAGGCTGCTGAAATTTCATTTTGCACTTACCTTGAGATTAAGCTCCTCTTTCAGACAGGAGTCAGCTTGATATAAATCTCAGGTGGTGGGCACTTGTCCTACCCAATCTTTTAACACTTCCTCAGGCACCTCCCTTGAGCAAGGGCCCTCTGTGTCTTGCTCACCCAAGGTCAAGAACAGTGCTTGCACACAGTAGGTGCTCGTTAAATACACGTCAAATTAATTAATTAGTAAAGCAAACATTTTTTAAAAATTGTAGTTCTAGGAATATATTCATTCGGAGCACTCCGGGGGGATATCAACAGCATCTTCTAAGGCAGACGTGACCCTGGAAACCATCTCTGGGCATGTTCTGCGCAACTGTCTAATAGTCATTCATCGGCGTGTTTCTAATGGCGTGTTTCTGCAGATCTTATTTAAGTAAAAATATATTATAATAAGAATTGAGCCGAAACCGGTTTGGCTCAATGGACAGAGCGTCGGCTTGGGGACTGAAAGGACCCGGGTTCGATTCCGGTCAAGGGCATGTACCTTGGTTGCGGGCATATCCCCAGTAGGGGGTGTGCAAGAGGTAGCTGATCCATGACTCTCTCTCATCGATGTCTCTAACTCTCTATCTCTCTCCCTTCCTCTCTGTACAAAAATCAATAAAATATATTTTTTTAAAAAGAATTGATTTATAGTTTATTTCACACTTTATCCCTATGTAGTTCAAAAATATACTTTGAAAAGCAATGGAAGCTGATTTTGATGAGTACACTATGTTGTATCAAGGCCAACTTTGAAAAAAGAACTTCAAAGAAATATAGACAGCGTTAAAAATAAATATTTTTTTTTTTACTGATCAAGGCCCCTCTTCCCTCCTCCCCCTTTGTAAAAGGATTCGTTACAAAATATTTGTGTACGTTTCAGCACAAATGGTGGCATCTCATCTTAGTGGACAGGTCATGTGATTTTGTGAGCCGAGGTGGGGGTTGTCTGGGGTTGAGGGGAAAGGGAGGAGAGGGTTTGAGAGAGATCAGTGAATTGACACTGGCGGCCAGCCCTGGGCCTGGGCCTGGGCCTGAGGAGAGGAACTGGGGGTCAGGACGAGGGAGCTGTCGGAGGGAGGAGGGCTGGGGAGCGTGAGTGGGCTGTGGAGAGATGGGTCAGACCTGGGGGAGCGCTTAGACTGTGCCAGGCTGTTCTGCATGGCTCCCATGTTAACACATCATTCAGTCTCTGAGAGGTCCACGCTCTGCGCTCTCTGGGTTGTAGGCATCAGACAGTGCCCTGCCTCCTCTCCCCTCAAGGTAACCAGACCAGGTCCTTTCCTCTGCTTTCCTCCCTGAGGTCTGAGTCTCACTCGCTTTTGGGCTCCACTCGCCATATACCGCCACCGAGACAGACTTGCCCTGAGGATACAATGTCTGTGGAGTCCTCCCTCTCCCCCGCCCCACCCCACACTCAGGTCCAGCAGTGGGAGGACGGGAGGAATCAGGGAGCCCAGGGAGAGCTGCCCAGTACACATCAGTGAGGGGTGGGAGTTTTTATTGTCTTTGATAAGTTTAATTTCTACTTTTCGGAATTGGAAGATTGTGAAGCGAGGCTGTGGGATGTGCCCCACGGGCCCTTGGTGGCCATTGGCTCATCTCTTGAAGGACAGCTCTGGTTCTGACTTGCTTTCAGAAATGAGCACCCTGTCCCGCCAACCTTCTCAAAAACTCAGTCCCGAGAAGACTCGCCAGCTTAGTTTGAGGCGTGGGAGGGGCCGCAGGCGGCATGGAGCTTCATTCCCCGTATCTCCGGGGCCTGACAGGTGTCTGAGCAGCTCCAGGCACGGAGGGCGTCGCTCCCGACTTTGGGTCCAAGAGCACAGGGGCAGCCACGGCAAGTCAGCAGGATCCCCTCCCCTTCCCCACCAGCAGCCGTTCTTCTAGAAAAGTCCCCGGCCCACATTTCATCCTTTCTTCACATTTGCACCCACTGTTTCTAAATTGGATTGTGGGGGAATCCAGTGACCAGACGGCTGAATGGAAACCCCTTAGATAATGGGGCCCATGTCTATTGAGCCCCATTGAAAAGTTTCAGAAGGAAGCAACAGCAAACATCACCATTCTGCCAGCCCCAGTCCCGTACCTCGTGGGAAAGAGAAAAGTAACTATCTGCGATGGATTCTTCTCTAAGGGCTCCCCCACCCTCTTTTGGAATGGGGAAAGCAGGAGCCGCCCTGGAAGGCGTCAGAAGTCAAAGGGGAGGCAAGCCTTGGGACCGTCCCATTGTCCAAGGCTGTGACGACAGCCTGAGTAAATTTCTAGAACTGAAGAAAAAAAAAACAAAAAACTGGTTTGCATCTCTATTTTGGGGAAAGCTGCCATTGAGAGATCATGATGTCATCAATAGGATGATGTGTTCTGATGATTTATAGAAAGAGATTGTCAACTAGAGTCTCATGCTGATGACCCAGGCTTGTGCTATTAGCAAAGATTCAGTGATAAACAGCTCAGTACGTGGTTACTCACTAATAAAATATAGCATGGGGACCCATGGATGCGGGCCTGAGCTGAGTGCCATTCCTCAGGAACTGCAGTCAGTGTGCTCAGTGCCGCCTGCTCCTGGTTTTGTGCGGTGAGGGTGGTTCATGGGTTCAGGGACTGGAACAGTGTGAGTGTTTGGTTGGCGCTTCAAACAGGTTTCTCCAAACATCCCGGGAGGAGACAGGAGACGAGCGAAATGAGGTGGAACAGACCAGTTTCTCCTCTGTGGTCAGCGTTTCCTGGTTTGCAGAAGGATGAGTCAGGCGCCTGTCACTGCATGGAGGGCTGAGAGCACCCGCTTTTGTGTGTTAATCTCCCCTGCTAAGTGCGGCCCTAAATCATCGGCATAAGCACACTTCACTTCAGAATGTCAACGTGTTCCCATCCTTTCCTCCTCTCTCTCTCCTCAGCACACTCTGGTTTCGGGGTGGGAAAGAAGGCTACATCCCCACCAGCTGCCCGGAGCCCCATTCAGGCGATGAACGAGAAGCCGGTGGGCGGTTCCTGAGCCTTTAATTGTGGAAAGGGCCGATTTCGGAGAAAACCGGCAGCTCCCATGTAGCCACCATGTGGGGCCTCAAAACAGTCCTTTTCCGTGGTACTCCGGCCTCGTCTCATTTTCCTGTGGCCTGGGTAAACAGACGGGGCGGGGACCATCGGCTTACAGCTGTTCCCATGGAAAATATTGCAATCACTAATAAATAATAATAATAATACAGAAATGAACTGGGTTTCACCTGCTCACATTGGTGAACAGACCTTTGCCCAGCCCCGTATATGATATACAGTTGTCTTTAACTTAGGCTCATTTTTTGGTATCACTGAACTATTGGCCATGAGATTTCCAACAAAACAAAACAAAACAAAACAAAACAAAACAAACAACCCCCAACCAAACCAGAATAGCAACACACAGCTGGAATGAATCCGTTACACATGGAAGGCGGTGGGCGGCAGGAGGGCTGCTGGACGTTTGCACAAAGAGTTTGTAAACTAGAACGCGGGCCCCCCTCTGGCTGGAGCGGCTGCGCCCCTGTGCTGCCCCCTGACCCGGGCAGGGCCGGGCGGTCCCGGGCCGGTGCCCATGGCCCGCTGGGCAGGGCCCCGCTAATCCGGGGCGGGCTTATGGGTGCGGCGGGAGGGGGAGCCGGGCAGGGGCGAGGCCGGCGGGGACCCACCTGGATCTCCGAGGCGGACTGGGCCCGGAGGCGGGGCCGCCAGCGCTGGGGCCGCGTCCGGAGCCCCACCCCGGGCGGCGGTAAAGCCCCGGGACTCCAGGCCCGCGCCCCAGAGGCCCGAGAGGAAGTGTCCTGCGCCCCGATCCTCCGCCGCCTGCGCCCCGCCGGCCGTGCACCCCCCGCCGCCCGGACCCCGGACCCGAACCCCTTGCCGCCCGCAGCGCCCATGGCGGCCGCCCCCGCCCCGCGCGGAGCCCCCCGGCTGCTGCTGGCCCTGGCGGTGAGTGCGCCCCACCCGTCCCGGCGCGGGCTCCGCTCCCACCCCGGTCCCGGGGCGCGGGGCTCCGATCCCAGCCCGGTCCCGGGGCGCGGGGCCAGGGAGCGCGGCCGCGGGGAGGCGGCGGGCCGGGCGGGAGGCGGTGACCCCGCCGCGATCCCGGGCGGAGGCGGCTCCGCGATGCGATAAGCGATCAGCGGGCGCCGGGCCGCGGGGAGCGGGGAGCGTGGCCTCCGGCGGAGCCCGGCCGCCCGCCTCCGCCGCCCGCCGCCTCCGCGCGGGGCCGGCCCGGGGAGAGGAGGGGTGGGCGCCGGGAGGAGCGGGGTCCGGGGTCCGGCCCGGGGAGAGGGGGCGCCGGGAGGAGCGGGGTCCGGGGTCCGGCCCGGGGAGAGGGGGCGCCGGGAGGAGCGGGGTCCGGGGTCCGGCCCGGGGAGAGGGGGCACCGGGAGGAGCGGGGTCCGGGGTCCGGCCCGGGGAGAGGGGGCGCCGGGAGGAGCGGGGTCCGGGGTCCGGCCCGGGGAGAGGGGGCACCGGGAGGAGCGGGGTCCGGGGTCCGGCCCGGGGAGAGGGGGCGCCGGGAGGAGCGGGGTCCGGGGTCCGGCCCGGGGAGAGGGGGCGCCGGGAGGAGCGGGGTCCGGCCCGGGGAGAGGGGGCGCCGGGAGGAGCGGGGTCCGGCCCGGGGAGAGGGGGCGCCGGGAGGAGCGGGGTCCGGGGTCCGGCCCGGGGAGAGGGGGCACCGGGAGGAGCGGGGTCCGGGGTCCGGCCCGGGGAGAGGGGGCACCGGGAGGAGCGGGGTCCGGGGTCCGGCCCGGGGAGAGGGGGCGCCGGGAGGAGCGGGGTCCGGCCCGGGGAGAGGGGGCGCCGGGAGGAGCGGGGCCTGGGGTCCGGCCCGGGGTGAGGGGGGCGCGGGGGCAGGTGCCGGTGCGCGGGGTCTGGAATCCGGGCCGCCCCGCTCCGCCCCGGGGCGCGCTCCGGGAGCCGACGTTTCGGTTCGTCCCATTTCCATTTCCCTTTTCCCTTTCTGGTGCCCCGGGGCGACCTTCGCCTTCGGGTTGGAGAAAAGACCCCCAGATCCGGCTCCCCCGGGCACCGGGGCCCCTGCTCCGCCCGCCCGGCCCGCCGGCCTGCCGGGAGGAGGGTGCCCCGCGGGGAGGAGGGTGCCCGCCGGGAGGAGGGTGCCCGCGGGGAGGAGGGTGCCCGCCGGGAGGAGGGTGCCCGCCAGGAGGAGGGTGCCCGCGGGGAGGAGGGTGCCCGCCGGGAGGAGGGTGCCCGCCGGGAGGAGGGTGCCCGCCAGGAGGAGGGTGCCCGCGGGGAGGAGGGTGCCCGCCGGGAGGAGGGTGCCAGCTGGGAGGAGGGTGCGCGCCCGGAGGAGGCTCCCCGCGGGCTGAGCGCCGGGGCCCCGGAGGGTGAGGAAGGGGAGGAGGGAGAGGATGGGGAGGACCGGCCCGGCGCCCCGGGAGGAGAAGCGCTAACCAGGCCCCTGGGGGAGGCGCTCCTCCAGGCGGGCTCCTCGGAGGCACTGGCTTTGGTGTGAAGTCAAACCCAATGAGTGGCAGCCGGACCCTGGGAAGGCTGGCGGGAACTGGGGGCTGAAATACCGGGGCAGCCACCGCTCTCACTTTACAGAGAATCCCTCAGACTGTTAGGTGCTGAGACTGTGGTTGTTACTATGGGAAGGTCTTTAGAAGTTGTTACTAAGTCTATATTAGTTGTTACTAAGGATTTTCCTCACCCCCGTGGACCCCAAACCCTTCCCTGAACTCCTGGGTCCTTGTTCATTTGTTTTGTTTTGTTTTGTTTTGTTTTAAGGAAAAGGGATGGTTAGTCACTGGCAGTAAATAGCATCGCCTTGTATGTACCCCCACACAGAGCTGTCTGCATGCATCGCAGAGCCTTTTAGAAGAAAATGTGCGGTGAATAAATGCATGGAATAACACCCATGCGGTCCGCTTAGCTTCACAGCAGGATAGACCAGAGGTGGGGTGGGTGGGAGAGGGCAGGGGCCTGGGTGCCCCTCATTCACTACCCTCTGGGGGAGCAAGGCCTGAGGTGGGGCCCTAAGCGGACCCAGGTCCTGAGCATCTGCAGAGCTGGGTGCCTCAGTGGGTGTGGGCCCTGTGGGGAAGGTGCACAGAGACTATTGGAGTCGGAGACATTATTCAATAAGCGTGACTCTGGACGCCCTTGACATTTCACGATCCAAATACATCAAGAAATCCTTCCCCATTCAACCCCTTCCCCCTTCAACTCTGGCTGCTGCCCAAGCACCATGGCGCTTCTCTCTCAAACCATCAGGCGATTCACTGCCAAGTCCAGTCGCTCCTCGCACAGCTCCGCCTTGGAGATGGGGCCTTAATTCTTTTTTCTTTTTTTCTTTTTTTTAAATATATTTTATTGATTTTGTACAGAGAGGAAGGGATAGAGATAGAGAGTTAGAAACATCGATGAGAGAGAGTCATCGATCAGCTGCCTCTTGCACACCCCCTACTGGGGATATGCCCGCAACCAAGGTACATGCCCTTGACCGGAATCGAACCCGGGTCCCTTCAGTCCCCAAGCCGACGCTCTATCCATTGAGCTAAACCGGTCCCGGCGGGGCCTTAATTCTTGAAATGCACTGGTCTTTCCCGGCCACTCAGAATCGGATGCCCCATTCTGGGTCTTGTCCCTAAGATGTCCCACAGGTGCCTCCGTAGACCACATGTATGTTGTTAGGGTGGATATCTCCACTGAACAACAGGCCTTCAGTATGATGGCGGCACGCCATTATCCCCCAGACAATGCTGCTTTCCTCCTGGTGGCCTGTGTTTCAAACACCTCGTTTTTCTTTCCCCGCTGTTCCCCTCCTTCCATCCGTCTTTCGGTCCCTTTAAACCCACATCCAGAAGTGTCTCCTGGTGCCTTTCCCTCTCGCCATCACCTCGGCTCCTTCTCTTTGCCTTTGCACATAACGCCACGATGAATAAACCTTCACAGACGTTATCTCCTCTTTGGGGAGTGGAGCATGTTCATGGGGATGGTTACTAGAAATGGGATTGCCAGATAACAGTATAAGCGACTTTGTACTTCTCACAGGTGTCACCGCTCCCTCTCCCCTCCAGAGAGGCTGAAGGTGACTAGCCAGGAAGCTATTTTGTGGTAGATAGCATATCATATTAGTGAGGAGATAGATATACACACAGTGCACCACACTGTGTGGAGGTGGCCTGAGGCCACAGGACTTAATCTAGGCAGGCATCTGCCAAAAAGATAAAGCTGAATCCATAACTCATGCAGGATACCGAGAAAATTCCAAACAGATGAGGGATATAATTGTAACACATCTACCATACAGATATCAGAAGAAAACAGGACGAATTTCTACTGAAATCTGGAGTAGGAATTTATGGCTCGGACTTCAAAAGCCATGTATTAAAATTGAGAAAATCAATTCCATTAAGACATACAGACACAAACACTTGTCCATGGCAGTGCACTATGCCAATGTCAGAGGCAACTGACAGGGTGGAAAAACACATCTCACGTCACATTTTAAAGGTTTAATGTAATGTATCGAGTGCTCTTCTGAACCAAGAACATGGACATGGAAAATTCCTATAAAGTAACAAAAGCGGCCCATAAAAATGTCTCAATCTCATTCATAAGAAAAAAAGGTGACTTTAAGGCTATAGTGAGTCACTTCTGATTTGGCCCACACTCAGAACAATGTGAAGGAATTGAAAGTCCCATAGCTGGTGAATGGGACAAAAATTGCTACCTTTATGGACTGTAGACAGGTATATCCCATGCAAAACTGAAGCTGTTTGACTTCTCCCTTTCCAGATCAGATGCATTGAATACCTTTCAGTTCTTCATATACGAATATCACATTATTTTTTATTTTTGAGACTGTAGGATCTTTTAATATGTGCTGAGGCTAATATCCTTCCATTGCTTTTCTTTTTCATAATTTTCCTGTCTGTTCTTAATTATTGATATTTTCTTATGGCCTTTGAAATTATCTTGTCTAGTTCCAATATATATATATATATCTACACACACACACTGTTGGGATTTTTATTAGGACGATGAAATTTATAACAGTGAAAACCGATACGTTTATGTTGTTTATTTTTCTTTTCCAAATAAAGATGTATCTGTTGCAAGTCCACTTCTGTGCCCTTGGGAAATATTTTCAGATTTTCCTCAAGTAGGTTTTCCATGTTTCTTGTTAAATTTATCCCTAGGATTCTATTTTATTGCTTTTGGAAATGGCTTATTCTCTTCCATTATATTTACTTAGCTGGTTTTATTTATGTGAATGAATACTGACGGCTTCTCTATTTTGATTGTTATTGCTGCTCCTTTACTGAAATCCTCTTATTGTTCATGGGAATTCATTGGTTGGTTTACTGGGGTTTTCCAAGGTAATAGTCATATAAAATGCAAATAGAGATTTCCTCTTTTACTTCTTCCTTTCCAATTCATATGCCATCCCCTATCTTCCTCTTGCCTGATGTACTTTAACTAGAGGCCCTGGGCACGAATTCATGCACCTGGAAAGGAACTGTGAGTCACGAGGCTGCGGCAGGCACAGGGGCAGGTCTCAGCCCATCCTCCACGCCCCTTCCCGGCCCTTCCAGCTGTGGCCCCCAGTCCCCGGTCTGCTGGCAGCCCCACTCCCGCCACTGCCACTCCCACATGCTGATGGCACCAGCCTGGCTCACACCCACTGATGGCACAAAGCAATTCGGGCTGGCGCCAGCAGTAGGTACAAGCAGGGCCGGTGCTGTCAGCGGGTGTGAGTGGCAGCTGCTACCCTGATCACCCCTCAGGAGCAGGGGGAGGTGGAGAAGCCCTCATGGGCGATTGGGGCCAGCAGCTGCCGCTCGCACCTGCTGACAGCACTGAGTGATTGGGACCAGCACCCATTGCCGGCAGCAGGTGCAAATGCCCAGCAGGACCCCAGTGCACTGGAACAAAGAATTTTCAGTAACCACGAGAGGCTCCCCCCAATGACAGCGACCAGTGCCCTGCCTTGGTCTGATGCCCCCTGCTCACCTGCTCCACCATCCCGCTGTGGCTGATGACTTTCATGTTCTGTGCTCTGTTGCCTGCTGCCGACATCTGCCATGGTCTGCTCGTTCTCCCCTGGTGGTCAGTGCACGCATAGCGACTGGTCGTCTGGTTGTCTTGTTGTTCTGCCATTCGGCCTATTTGCATATTTGGGTTTTAAATATATAGATGTAACATTAACGGTATACAATGGCCTTCGAAAGTTTGTTTTGTTGCTGAGTTTAGTGTGGCTGCCATTTGTGCTTTCCTATTCATGTTGTGATTATAATCTATATATATAAAAGCCTAAATAAACATTATGACCAGATGACCAACCAGAACGACTGGTCGACCAGTTGCTATGACATGCACTGACCAACAGGGGGCAGATGCTCAATGCAGGAGCTCCCCCTGGTGGTCAGTGGGCTCCCACAGCCCTTTCCCTAGCCAGCAAACCTCTTGTGGTCCCTTCCTTTGTTTAGCAGGCTGCATCCGGCATGAGGTTCCTAGATCTGGTGAATTCCTGGCAAGAGGTTCCTAGACCAAGCTAGTGACAGGAATGTGTAGCCCAGACCCCTGCAAGGGCCACTTTACCTCCAGCTCACCCCTCCGATGAAGGCTTTGTGTTTGGGCCCAGGCTAATGTGGGTGACACTTGTCTTAGATCTAAGGTGGACCCATGTTTTGTTTTCACTCTTTTCCAGGGAATTAAAAAAAATAAAAAGTCAAATCTTTTCGGATCAGAAGTCATATCTAGTTACCACTCTGTGTCCCTCCTTTGCCCTGACTTTGCCAAGCAATTTCTTGCTAAATGCTTTAGGATGTCTCCGAAACAACGTGTCCGTCATTTTCATTTTTGGCATGGGGGGTTTGTCTGACTGTCCTGGCTGCCTTTATTGGAAATGAAAATGGTTTCCCGGTTCCAATCCTCACCCAGGTCAGACTTATTTAGTCCAATGGAGAGGTTCTTATGCAATTTATCTGCTTAAAACCAGTCTTTGTCTGAGTCTCTATAGGAAATAAGAGCCATGTGCTTGGTTAATGCTTTCAGGATTTGTCCACACCCACTTGTCTGAATACATTTCAAACGTCTGTTCTCTCGTGCTGTATGCATCGGCTCTTCCAGATTTTCACGTTCAGGTCTGTGTTGTCTCTGAGCCTCTACACATGCCATTCCTCTGCCTGGAACATACAAACCCTGCTCCTTCTTGGCATGGGTAACCATGTCGCCACTCTTCAGTGACATCACCGGGCTCTGACCAGGGGCTAGTGTCCCCGTTCTCCCATGGTGCCCTGTGCTTCCCGGTCACAGCCCTTTCCCTACTTCATTGAAACTGAAGATATGCCTTATCCTTGATTCGAGTGTTTTGTGAAGATCATGTTTACTGCGCTGTGTCTGAAGCATGATAGACATTCCTAAATATTTGCTGAATGCGTCAATGAATGGGTGTAGAGGACACTTATCCAAAGTATTGTCTTCATTCATTCTTCCCTTCTCCCCCGTTTTTACGTAGTCCAGGTGACCATCCTCCCACTCTTAGATTCCTGCGATAGCTTCCAAACTGGTCTCCGTGCTTCCATCTTTGCTTCTCTGTAGCCCATTGTCACATAGCCACCGGAATGAGTCTGTGCAAATGAAGGATGATTTGTGTAAATACTTGCCGGAATAGGCCTCTGCAGCTCCTACTCCTGATGCTGCTCCTCTCTGCTCTCAGTGAAGCCTGCACTCCTTCGTGGGGCCTTTTAGACCCTGTGTGATGTGCCCTGACTGTCTCTTTAATATCGTCTCCTGTCACTCTTCCCGCACTGTGGGCTACTACGAGGGCCTCTGTTTTGTCCTCATAAAACTCAACCAGTTCCTCCCAGGACACCTGCTCTGCTGTGTCCACGCAGAAGATTCTGCCTTTGCTGCATTGGTTGGTTTGCTTCCTCATTTCATTCACGTGTTGGGTCTTCCACTGTCGCTCTCCATGTCTTGTTGTTCTTGTAACGTTTATATCTTGGCCTCATGTGACCTTTGTGCATTTGTGTGTTAACTTGTGGAATGTCATTATGATGTCACCTCCATGAGGTCAAGGACTTTGCCTTGTTCGTTGCTGTAGCCTTTGAACTCTGCCCAGCAGCTGGCAAGCAGCCCCAGAAGGTTGGTTGAAGGAGACAGTGGATGCTTCTTGCAATCCCCTGAGCGGGAGCCCTCAGCCATCGGCCTGCACCCCGGTTCTCTCTGGACTGTGCGGCCGGGACAATTCTGCCCATATTCTAACTCCCAGCCCCAACACGCTCTTCATGGTGTCTGTCCCCAGTTTCAAGTGAAATGTAGTTCTGTGTTACCTGATTCTTCACATGTCATTAAAATTAGATAAAGATTCTTTAATGTGTGTTGGAAGTAAAATATTTTTTTAAATATATTTCTATTGATTTCAGAGAGGAAGGGAGAGGGAGAGAGAGATAGAAACACCAAGAATGAGAGAGAGTCATTGATTGGCTGCCTCCTGCACGCCCCTTACTGGGGATCCAGTCCTCCACACAGGCAGGTGCCCTGACCGGAACTGGAACTGTAAACTTCTGGTTCCTAGGTTGTTGCTCAACCACTGAGCCACACCTGCCCGGCAGAAGTAAAATTTTTATTCAAATTTTGCTGATTTTAATTTATGTTTATAGACTTTGTAAGTAATGATGTAAATGTTACTTTTACTTCTCTTGCATTTGGTCAAACTATAGAAGAAAAACTGCATTTTTCAGAAGCACCCATTGTAAAGTCTCAGAGAAAATGTCATTAAATTGCAGTGTGTTCAAATATATATTTTATTGGAATCGGTTGGTTCACCATAAATCACTAACTCATTAAAAATTTTTAAAGTAAAATATTTTCTAAAATGACCTTAACTCTCCTTTATGAGAAGATGGACCTTCAAAATAAGTTAGTTTTTCAAGGGTGTTTTACATGGAAATGGGCCGCATCACCCCCAGGGCAGTGAGTCAGTGCTCCTCTTTAAAAGCACTGCTTTTTTGTTTTTTGTTTTTTAATACATTATTATTGATTTCAGGGAGGAAGGGAGAGGGAGAAAGAGAGAGAGAAACATCAGTGATGAGAGAGATACATTGACTAGCTGCCTCCTGCATGGCCCCTCCTGGGGATCAAGCCCACAACCCAGACATGCACCCTTGACCGGAATCAAACCCAGTACCTTTCAGTGCACAGGCCTACGCTCTAGCCACTGAGCAACACCAGCTAGGGCGAAGCACTGGGGTTTTATTTAGGCTGTTTTATTTGATTTGGTACCACAGCTCAATTAGGAAATTGGCAATTAATAGAAACATTTTGCTGGCTCATTAATTTGTTTTTATTTCTCTTTCCTATTTACACACCTGAGCTGCCTTCCTAATGGTTTCAGTGCTTGCTTGCATAGGCTGTCTTTGTTTCCTCAGTATACCACTGAGTTTGGGAAATTATTATTAACTTTATTTTATAGGATAGGACAGTGGTCGGCAAACTGCAGCTCATGAGCCACATGCGGCTCTTTGGCCCCTTGAGTGTGGCTCTTCCACAAAATACCACATGCGGGCGTGCATGTACAGTGCGATTAAAACTTCATGGCCCCCGAGCAGAAGTCGGTTTTCGGCTCTCAAAAGAAATTTCAATCGTTGTACTGTTGATATTTAGCTCTGTTGGCTAACGAGTTTGCCGACCACTGGGATAGGAGACAAAGCCCAAGACGGGAGGGATTCTGAGTGTACATTCTCTGTGAAGGAGTGAGCCAGCACTCAGTCTATTGTTTTCTTCTTACCCCTGATACTGTTTTCCGATTTTTTACTCCAGTGTAATTATGACCTTATTTTGTTAATTATATAAACTGATTTATAATTGTGCAAATTTATATATGCATTAAAAGTGTTTTTTAACTCATAATGTTGCATTGATTTTTAGATCTTCATATATGCCTGTGATGCATGCAAAACAGTGACATTCCATGTTCCCTCCCAACTGGATGCTGGGAAATTCGTGGGTAGAGGTAAGACACTGCCGAAGTAGGTAGAAGTCTCATTTGTACGATCTTATAAAGTGAGTGAGTGTAACTTTCAGAGGAATAACTGGGTTGGAACCAAGAGTTAGAAATAATATAGCACATTATCATTTATAATGCTTATGGTATCATTCCAATGAAAGGAATATTGTGGTTTTTTTAAATTTAAAAACATGATCATATAAAATAGATAAAATGTTTACTTTGAGAAATAAGAATTAGTAATATTCACATTAATTGAAGGAGATGATATATGTGTTAACATGTTTCTGTGAAATTGAGAAATTGTGTTGAAACTGTTTCCTAAGTTTAATGGTACTGTTTTTGGATTTTTGTCCAAAAACAATACCATTAAACAAAACATGTTGGCATCTTATTGACATTGATTTTCACATATTGTTTTTTCAGTATTTAAATGTTTATATAACTCAACTGTATAAGAAAAAAAATCGGACCAATGAGAACACAGAATATGATGACCATTTAATAATAGACATAAATAATTCAAGAATATCTTAATTCAATAACTCCCCATTTTAATTCTCTAGATTCTACTTACTTCAAATGTACTAATTCCATGTAATAAAAACTTTTTTGGTGTTAATTTAAATATTCAAACAATGGGGTTTACATGCTTTTATATCAAGACAAACATCTCTCTATAAAAGGGCCTAGTGTATGTGTTAGCAGTGATGTGTGTGCTAATTTGTGTTTAGCACAACTTAGTTAACCAGAGTTTTGTATGTTGTTTTAAAAACAGAAAGTGTGAAGTGTCAGTGTAGTTAATTTTCCGTTGTTGCCCCCATGCGCACGTTGCCGCTAACACCACGCGCTAGCGTGTTCCCTCACGGGCCGCCCTGCCCGCTGTGTTGCAGTGAACCTGGAGGAGTGCTTGCAGTCCCCCGATCGAATCCGCTCCAGTGACGCCGATTTCCGGGTCTCAGAAGACGGATCCGTCTACACGGCCAGTGCTGTTCTCTTTTCCTCCGCGAAGAGACATTTCACCATCTCCCTCTCCAACGCGCAGGAGCACGGAGACCAGAAAATACAGGTCCTTTTGGAGCATCAGACACAGGTACCCGACTCCAGAGGGAGGGGAGGGAGGGTGTCCTTCAGGTCGCCCATTACCGGGAACATGTGCAGTCAGAGCAGCGGAGGGACAGTGCAGCTGCCAAGGACAAAGCCATGACACAGTGGATCCGTATTCCCACAGGAAAGGACTGTGCGCAGGGGCAGGAGGGCAGTGATGTGGGACAGCGAGAGCTGAGCTGAGCTACCTACCGCATAGGAGCTGAGACCAGACACGAAGGAGCACTTTCTGCCCGCTCCGTAGAATCTATTTTTTAAAGACGAGAGTTGGAACTGTATCCGGAGGCCTCTCGGGGCCTTAGACAGCATGGTCTTGAGGGTTAGGAAGGAGATGGCTACCAGGTTGTGGTTTGGACCTGACCTGTGCCTATGACATGGTGAGGCCCAACTTGCAGTGCCTCCTGTCCAGCCCCGGCCGCTCTCCCTCAGCAGCTGGAGTTGTCACCGGTCTCCCCTCGCTCTGACCGCTCTCCCTGACTCCTGGCTCTCCCTCCTGCTGGGGAGGGGAAGAAGCTCACACTGAGCCAGAAGGGCACACAGCCTGCTCCCTCTCTCGGCCACCTCTCCCTCCATGGATTTGCAGGACAGCATGGCGAGAGTGATTTATTTCTCATTGTTGCTTCTGCGCTGACAGTCCCATCTCTCTCCCTTCCATTCGCCATCCCGTTATTTTCCCCAGAGGGCTGCTGCGTTGTTGCTTCATGATCGTGTTGTGGGGTGATGTTTCGCTTCATTTTCACGCACAGCCCCGGTCACACACCTCCCCGCTGTCCCCAGGAGAGCAGAAAGATGCATCAGCACTCCTGTGCTTGGGAGTGAAATGGCCTTGACTTTCTCTTCTATTTTTTCTAAATGGAGGCACTGCAGCCAAGCCACCCCGAGGAGAAGGTGCTGAGGCGGGCCAAGAGAAGGTGGGCTCCGATCCCGTGCTCGATGATGGAGAACTCG